TCTATTATTATTTGTGTATGTTATTTGTTTATAAAATGTAATAGTTTTGAAAAATATTTAGTTACACATCACTATCATCAAACGTCTTCTAGTTTTTTTATTGTACTAACATAATTTATATTATTTTCTTTTTAAGAATAGATTTCCATGGAAAATTATCGTTTCTTTTATGTCTTGAGCGAATATTATGAATTAGAATCCTTTTTATTTCGAACTATTCGCAATATGAATTACACATACGGTTCACTAATGGTTTTCTGCCTTCTACCAAGACTACGTAAAATAAAAACGTGGAAGTAGATTTCTTTATCTTACGTTACTTACGTTAAATCGACATCGTGTTGATATCGATTCGACATTTATTGTTGACCTCACAGTTCCACTAATATTACGAATTTCAAGAAATTCTTTTACAAGGATATTTTGTACACATGCAGGAACAAAAATTAGCAATACAAATCAATTTTTTTAAAGCCGGCAAAGATAAAAGACGCCTTAATTTATTTTAAGTAAATTTTATTTTTACGTGGCATTCGCAGTTCTTGAGCAAAATGCGCTGAGTAAATTCTTCTCTTAAATGTACAATAATGCTGACGTAGCAAATGTTTCATAAAAAACGGAATTTTTGTGATATTGGTATTTATAAGAAGAAATTAATATTTTATGTTTGTAAATATGAGACATTTAATTGTAAATAATTATAAGCAGCAATATTTATAATTATAGTCTTAATATCATAATTTTAACATTATCATCTTATTATTAACCTAAAATATTAAGAATATAAAATTATTATTATATTAATTGTAACAATTATTTTATTTTCATTTAAAAAAGAATATATTCAACTAGTTCAACTTTTTACTTTGATAATCTATATTTTATGTATAGTTTATCATTAATTATTTTACATTCTATTAATTTTACATTTTGTTTGTTTATTTATTATTTTATATATTTATTATTATTAATTATAATAAAATTAATCTAATGTTTTAAAATTGAGAATGAAAACTTTTTAAAGCTATGTAACGAAACAACATTTTATTTTTTTAAGTATTTTTCCAAGTTTTTTTGTAGTGAATAATTTTAAGAAACTAAATCACTCATTATTGTGAAAAAAGATATAATAATATATTGCATGTAAAAACCGGTTACATAATAATATACATTGCAACATGTAATTAATTTATCAGTTATAGAATTATGATAAGATACTTCTCTTATTTTATTTATTTGACAGGGGTTATTTATATGATTTGTATGTAATATTGATTTGTATCTATTTAGCATATTCATTTAAAATTTTAATACTGAAATAATATTAAAGTACAATAAGAAACAATAAGGAAACGAATATGAACGAAAGGTTACAATATTACAATTTAAATGACATGCAATAGAATGCCTTAAGGCAAGAAGAAATTTATTATTCAGAATTTAATAGATTGTTTATACTTGTAATAGTTATTTATGAATATCTTAATAAAAATTATGCAGACTTACTTTTCGGATTTTTACGCATCTTCCTGAATTATTGATGATGGGTTTGGTATTGATTATACGATGGTGCTAACGTTGGAAGAGAACTTCCGATTGTAAAATGTGATAAATCACAGCATGGACGGTCGTCATCTTTACATCGCAGTTAATAGTTCGTGCCGCCGTTACAAAAGAGATCTTATAGCATCTTGCATTTTAATAATGTACATTCCGACATTTAATAATTAACATTCCGAAAATTGAAACACTTTCACACTACTATTCTCACTACCGTTAGTTGCTTTCGATTTAATAAGTGGACGCGGATTATTATTGGATTATTATTTTTCTTTTATCGACTTTCTCGCCGTTCTTTTCTCCTGTTATTATTTATCTATGCGGCACATTTCACTGTATAAAACACACGATATGTATTACATCATTTTTTTTGTTTGCATTTCTGTTAACGTGACTATAATCGTTCCAATCGGTTTAAAGTTTTTAGCGAGTTGAAAAATGAGAAAGAGAGACTTGAAATATGCTATAAAATCATTTATATTCATATTCTTTTTTATATATAACACAATAATTGATAAAGTCAAAAGTCAAATTGATAAAGAAAAAAGTTATTGAAAAATTATTAAAAGATTACAATTACAAATTGCTAAATATAAATATTAATTTTTAAATTAATTTATTGTGTTTTATAAAGAGAACGTGGAGAATATGATGATATTAATTTAAAAGTATTTCAATTTATCTTTAATTCCAATTGTTTATATTGTAGATTATAGAATCCTATAACTTATTGAAAATCGATGGTTATTTTCCATAATAAATATAATTTACATTATAAGTTTTCATAATTTAATTTTTTAATTTGTATTATGAGTATGTATTTTTATAATTTTATTCATCTCAGAGAAAAAAATCTAAGTCTAAGGAAAAGAATACACACATAAAATGTGATACAATGAATTTGACAAATTTTACTAAATTTTAATTTTGCTAATAAAAGCAATAATCTAGACATAAAGAAAATTTTACCTAATTTTTTTTTTTAATATTTTATTCTCAGAAAATTGATTTTATCCACCAATTTTATAAAATATCACGAATTTTAAAAATAATTTTTAATAAATTTCACAGCATTTAAAAATAATTTTATCAACAATATAGGCACATTTTTTAATTGAAGATAAAAAAGCACTGTATAAAACGTATTTTATAATGCAACGAACTTGGCCGAGCCGTTCCGTTCGTCACAGAGACCCGGCAAAGACTGTATTTGACCCCAATTCTATAACATGCTACGTCCCCTCACAGGTGAAGGTAGGGATCTATGGATCGGTGGTAGATCCGTCAAGCGTCGATTGTTCATGTTTGGTAGAATGGAATTATACTTAAGAAATGTAATATAAACAATTTTCAAGTAATTGAATAAGTAGTTGAAAAAATGTCAAAAGT